TATATATATATATATATATATATATATATATAGTTCTTAAGGAATTTTTTTAGCTTAAATTCTTAAATTAAATTACTATTTTAAATAATTTTTAAGTCTAAAGTTAATGTACAATTGTTTGAGTGACGTTTTAGTACCAGCAAGTCGGGGTGTTACAGTTGGTTGTCAATTGCGAGTAGAGTCAAAACCTAACACAAATGGTGTTTCTCCAACTGATTTCGACACAAAGCAAATAAAAGAACACTTGCTATTCTTAATGAGCGCATTGTTCGGGCCCTGTCAAAAAAATTTTCATACCCAGTTATAGCTCAATAACAAGCATTTCTGATGTTGTATTAACATTATACCTTTTTGATTAAGCATCATGCAAGGATTCCTTGGTGATAATACCTATCACTTATGTGCCAATGATACGCTTATGCTCATTCCACTACTCACATTTTGTTTATCATGCAAAAAATGTGTCTAGAGTATATCGATTATTGTAGAATGAAAAAGATGAAATGAGGGAACAATTCTTTATTTGCACGTCGTACTTCAACAAGGCCCATAGTAAAATTACATGCCTAAACCCATTTGAGTGTTTGAGTCACATTATTTCAAAAAAAATATATTCTTAAATAGTGATTTAAATCATTTCAACCACACATTTTTCAATAAAATAATATTAATGCAAATTAATTTTTTTCTTATTTTTTAACCACACATTTCCTATCAATATACTATTCAAGAATGCATTATTACCAAAATAATGTGGCCCAAACACCCCTTTGTATAGTTCAATACCTTATCCTTTCCATTGTGTGCTTTAGTATCAACCTCAGATTTGTGCTATGTAGGATGAAAAATAGATTCCACCTAATGCAGCAAAATATCTTCCAAAAACTAATTTTAAAAACAAATTAGTGTAAAGTTATATTTTTAATCTTGTTTCTCTTGTATAACTCAAATTCACTGACGTAATAGTTGGATTGATGGATTCCTTCCAAATACAAGCAACAAATATTTAAAATTTCCCATGCCAAATTCGCTGTCGCTTAGGGCTGAACAAAAATCATCCCAAATTGTTCAAATCGATCAATGCAACCCAAATTAATTGGTTTGGATGGACTTTTAAATTCAATTGGATTGAGTTGTATTGAAAATCGAATTTGAGGTTGAGTCTTGAGTTACGAATTAATACCCAATCCAACTCGATGAATTAAATTAATAATAAAATATTAAAATTAGAAAAATATACAAATTAATAATAAAATATTAAAAATAGAAAAATCTACAACCGGACCCAGCATAACCCTCACGCCCACTCAATTCCAACCCTAGAATTTCCCCCTCCTTTCCTTCTCCATCATCTATCCTGCGGAAAACGCCGCACACGTCGAACTGTGAACGTTGCTGTGATCCAGCAGCAGACTGTGATGAAACTAATTCATCATCATTAGCTGCTTCTGCCACTCTCCTTCTAGTTCTTCCTGTCTCAAGAATCCACATCCCCATTTTTAGTTGTAATAGATTACTTAATAAATCGGGATCTATTCTTGTGAAAGTCATGGTAAAAGCAATGAAAATTGGTAACAAACAAAGTAAACACAATTTTTTTTTCTTTTCTTTTTTTTTTTTTTTTTTTTTTTTTGTTTTGGGTTTTTTTTAAAAGTTTGTCCATTATCAGCTTGAAAGTTTCTGGGTCCTTGGAATTTCACGTGTTTTGGGGTTTGTTTTGGGAAAAGGGGAGAAAGAATACTTAAGATTTGATGTTTGTTTGAGTAGTTTATGTGCTGATTATTATGTAATTGTAATTTGATTTGTAACTTGGGTTTGCTTGACTTGTCTTGTGAGTTATCAAACATTATCTATATTGATTTTGCTTATTAATTGCAATTTTTGCAGCATTATTTTGGCTGTAATCATGAGAGCATGTTTGGCTAAGAAGTTTACTTGTAAGTAAATAAGTTTTTTGTTGGTAAAAATTGAAAATAAGTAAGTTTGTGATTACTTGCCAAATATGTAACATTAGCTACACAGAAGCAAGAAAATAGGTAATGTATCTGTTTGGTAATTATAAGTTACTTAAAGTTATTAAAACCAACTCTTTCTACTTTAGCTTATACTAACATGTCAAGTAAGCACTAATGCGCAACATGTATTAACTAGTTATTCCCTTAATTATAAGCAAAGAAAGAATGCTGGCTCATTAAATTTGCATGTTTATGCACAATAAAGGGATAACAAGTAATTACAGCAGTGGTGGTGGTCTTTCTATGACGAGCAGTGCTAGCCTTAGCCAATTCTCTGCTGCAATAAGTGAGAATGCTTGTTTAAAATTCTCTCTTTGTTAACTATTATCAGCCTGGAAGTTAATAGGATGTGTGAATTGTGATGGAAACGGGGGTGTTAATAGGACGTGTGATTGGAATGTATTAATTTGACGAAACTGCTAATTTTGTGCAAGAATTTTTTTTATTTTTTATTTTTTTTCTCTGAAGTGAACCACGTGTGGGGAAAACAGAAATGTCCCAAAATGCTCTGTTCTGGTTCAGTCAGCCTCATAAGTGGATTTTTTTTCTGAGTAAAAGTCACGATTAGAATATGTTTGGTTAGGTGATAAAGGAAATCGGAATGAAATGTATTTTGCCCACTCCACTAAATAAAGTATTATTGCTTATTTTACTTGTAAGTTAATGTTTTGATCTTAACTAAAGGAGTATACCAACAGCCCAACTTGTTATTTGGACAGGATGCAAAACTGATCACAGTGTAAAAGAGATCAGATTCAGATCTAGTTTCATTCCATTTCTATCTTTGCTGGAAGATAATGGTCCAATTACTCTTTTTCAGGAGGCTTGGCAATTTACTAATTGTTGAGGGGAAGTTTTGTTTCGATACTAACGACGTGGTTTTATCTTTGGAAATTGTTTTAAAGAATGATGTTCCACAAAACGAGATAGGTGGAAGGATTTGCGATCTCAGTATGGGTGGTATAGGAAATATTACTCCTAAGGTATGCCTCCTATATATTAATATGGTTTCAAGATGCAAATTTAGAAAGTTCTTTTGGTGAAACATTGAAACTAATTATTTTCTTTTCATTCGAAATTGGGTTTGGCTATTTGTAGGAGTACATTTGGCTAACAGGAACTTGCAGTCTAATTGAACGACAAATCAAATACACTTTCCTAAATTTTTGTGAGGAGAAAAATTAATAGTTTAATAAACATCGTAATACTAAAGATTCAGCAGTGTTGATCCTATATGTGTTTATGCCACTTTCATTAATGTAAAGCTCGACTAATATGTGTCTATGAGAGCTGTGATCAATGTTTTGAAAATCGGACCAGACCGGGTGATTCAATTGAGAAAATCGGGAATTGGTTTGAAAATCGGTCCTGTTTAACTTATAAAACCTTTGAATGAAAACGCACCAAGAAACATTTCGGACTGGCCTCTTTGGACGTAAACCGTGACCCGCTACCGATTTACCCGCCTAGGATAAAACATTGATGGAAGTTTGAAATCGTAAAAACTTTATTACCAATTTCAATTTCACGCAATTCTTCTCTTCTCCACTGGCGACATCAGGATTGTGTTGTGTATAACGATGAAATAGGCTCAGACATGAAAAATTTGTATATTTGTCTAGTAAGCTTACAAGTTCATACCTATATTAAGAAAAAATCTTCCCAAAACTGAGCTTAGCGATCATCTAGAGTTGAGACGCTTCAAGAGTCTTCGCCAAGAGAGAGACGGCAGAATCAACTAGACAATATTACGCTGATGTTATAAAATTGATATGCAATTCATATTTGATATGTTATTATCTATTTAACATATGAAAATTTGTCAACGACTCTGACTTCTTGCGCTATTTTTGCTCTATTATCAAGTTTCTATAGCATTACGAAGTATTAGTAAAGAAAATGATGATTTTATTGAGAGTGCTTTCTCCCTTTCTTTTCATTCTACACCAGGACTAAAAGAAGCGAAGATTGGATAAAATAAAGAAAAAAAAAAGTGAGAATAGAAACTTTACTGAATCAAATGATTTGTACAAATGAGTGAACTTGAGAATATCTACTCATTTCTACTTTCCTTTGTCCCAAGAAAAAGAAGTGAAAAGATTGGATTGAAGCCCAAATTGTAGAATGCTGAAATATTGTGGTAGAAAATAATTTTTTATCAGTGTCATCCTTGACATGTGCTTGCAATTAAAGCAACACATATAATATGTCTAAATATTAATTTTCTGATCTTGACTCTGATTGGATAATGAATTTGATGCAGCACACTATGTAAAAACATAAGGTAGAGGAGATGGAAAAAGAAGATAGAAAAGTAAAAGAGCAAGAGAGAATGGATAAAATTTAGAGAGGGAGCTCTGCATCTATCAATTAGATTTGATATTCAATAATTTGTGTATGCAAAAGCACGATGTCTTTTTATGCTTAAAATCTTTGGTGAGACTCCTTAACCTAAAGGGAATAAATCAAATATAAGAATTCCTTAGAGAACTAATCTTAATTTCTTATCTAAAAATGAGTCTTTAATACTGGTAAATCTTCGTTATATTATCTATTTGCAGCCCATCACAAGCATTGATTAGTCGTAGCCTAAAAAACTTGCAAGCGGATTTAGAATAGTTTGCACCATTAGTGCCACATACCAGTTACAAAAATTGTTCCATCGTCAGGCATGCTTTTTTTTAGACAAACCATCGGTTACTTGGAATGAAAACTTGATTACTTCTATTAATAGGGTTTTGTTAATGAAAAGTAGCAAAAAAATTGGGGAAATGAGTTGGGAAGGCTGCTTTCAAGTGGTTTTTGTTTAAAAGGCCTTTGACCAAAATTTGAAAATAACATAAAATATAAATATGCAAATATTTAAAAAGACAATTATAACCTTCCATTATTTCTCCCCAAACGAAAGAAGAAAGAACCCAATACTTCCCAAATTAGAGGTCTAAAAAATCAAAACAATGTCTTTTTCCACTTCTAAGGCTCACCGTCGATCACTCTCTATCTCCGTTCTCGAAAATTTGAAACTTGCTGGACTACCTTCAGGTAATGTGTATCGCGTAGCTGAATTTGTATTTTGTTTGTTTCTTCACCTCCGATTTTGTAGTAGAAGTTTGTTTCCCCACCCCCTTCTCAGATTTAGGAAGCCAAAACTTCTGTATTATATATGGAAGGGTCTTTACGGTACCTGTAGCCAAATCTTTTGAGCGATTAATCTATATTATGATAGTTTTATGGCGCAAAATTGACAATATTCGGCCTCAGGTGTGCTTGTAAAGGTTATGTTCTGATTTCCTCTTTTTGTAAGAGAGAAAAATCATAATGTTTTGTGAAAAGAAAAAAATGATGGTTCTATTTCCCACTGTTTTAATGTTTCTTTTTATCTGCATTATTATGATTCACCTACGCACCTGACAATAAGTACTTTGTAATTTATATGCTGATTGGATTAAAAGTCTCACATATTTGATTTCCTATTGATAGATTTGCTTCTGCATTTGTTTGCTACATACTAGTGGTGTAGTTTCTTGAAAAATTTAATGGTGGTGATGGCTACATATATGTGATTTGCAAGGCTAAAGTTAACTGTTTCTTTCTTGCAATGAAAAGTTTGAGCTTCTCAATTTCAATTTTGTCTTGATAGCTTAAAGTTTGATTTGTTTCCAGCCTTTGCTTGTAAAAGAGATCATTTTTTATTCTTTAATAGCATCGTCCATGAACTATTTTACGAGTTTTGGATTAATGGTTATTTTGTTTCCATCATTCTTTTGTTTCTTATTCTTGTTTGGGTTATTGGCTATTTCTTCAGCATTTAACTCTTTTTCTTCAAGTCCAAAGCCATCTCTTTTCATTCTTCCAGGAAAGATCGAATAATTTGTAGAAAGTTTACCAAATTTTTAAAAGAAAAAATGACTTCTTTATGTTAGGTTTAAATGATTTAGAAAATGAAAAAATGCTAAATTTGTAAACAAATTACTATACTAAGGTGCGACATTTAACTATAAAGTCACCACATGCACAATTTATAATACATTGTACTTACAAGTTCTATAAAGCACATAAGTTTAAAACGCCTAATAAGTGAATATCAAATAAAATATACTTTGTTGTTAGCAATGATAACACCTGCTATTAAATTTCATATTCTACTACAAGAAAAACTAGAAGAACTAGGTAGTTTGTTTTAATATTTCTAGTTTTTATATTTGTTATTATGTGCTTTACCATCATCAGTTCTAATATTAGTACATATTTATAATTTGCAGTGCTATGGAGAAGATTCTTCAAGTAGATGCTACAATTACGACGAGATGCAGATTGCAAATAGTGCAAGATGTGTATGAGAAGCTCGATACAAGTTACAAAAACAAGCTTAGTGAAAGCTGCTTTGGATCTCTCCTTAGGTTGAAGGACATAAAGTTGGCTTCACAAGTTATACATCAGTTATTATTGCGAAAGATAAGGACCAACAAAAAAGAAGTTTGGTTTAAGATAGGAGAGAAAAATGCAAAATTTGGATTGGAAGAATTTATTTTAGTTACGGGCTTAAATGCGGGTGATGATAACGACGTAGATAAGACCTTGGGGGAAGAGTGTCGGATCGTGAAAGAGTATTTTAAGAATAGTGGGGGGAAGATAACAAAGGGAGATTCTTACAATGCATTTGTAAATTGCAAGAAAAGAAAGAGCGATAAGTATAAGTTAGGATTGATCGTAATCTTGGCGTACGTCCTGTGGGCTACGGAAGAGAATACATACATCGATTTATGGTGGCTAGACTTGGTGGACGATCTAGATAGGTTCGAGACGTATCCATGGGGAAATTTTCATTTGAATATACGATCAGTATATTCAAACGTGAGATGGGAGATAAATTGAAAAGTTCGGACGTCGAAGGTGAATCACGTTGCCGATATTCATTGCACGGCTTTCCCCTCGCTATAATGGTATGAACAAATAATACACTTGACTCGTATTTTTGTTTATATATATAAATTTGTGTTGTGAGATAATATAAATGTTTGTTTTGCAATATATTTGGGCATTTGAAGCGATCCCAACTTTGGGAATGAAGTTTGGTATGAAATATCCAGATGTAATACCAAGAATGGTCGCTTGGGAAATGCCGAAGAGGTTAACGTCTGCTGCCATTGAGAACGTGTTGAATTCGAAGGAGGTAAAATTGTCTTTATTAAGTTTAATGGGAACAAATTGTGGAATTAGCTTCATGAATGACTAATGACTTGCACCTTTTAATATTTGCAGTTGGAAGTTAATTCCACATTGATTCCCACCGAAGCTGAACTTGAAGAGGCCTATTGGAAAGAGTTGAAACCAACTGTAGAAGAAGATGAGAGTGTTTCACATCATTCCGAAGGAGACGAGGTTGAGCAAGATGTCGAGCCATATCATGCATACCACGAAGAGTCTCCTAGAGCAACCCAACCACCACAGCGTGGTTTTGAGATCAATATAGAGGATTTATTGAGAACGGAAATTGAAAAACTTGAGGGAAGGCTATAAGCAGTTATATTGACTCGACTTGATCGGATGGAGAAAAAGATTGACAGGTTAGTTGAATTGGTTGTGGCGGGTCGATTTCATCCAGCAACTAGTGCATTTGATGGTGCCACTAGTAGCACATCTTATGTACCAGAAAATGAACCGAAGGATGGGTTGGAAAAGGAGGTTGGGTTTGATGATGTGACAGATGTACATGCTGTTGAAAGAAAGGTAGATCTGCCTGAAGAGAATTCAAAGTTGGAGGAGGAGGAGGTTAGAGGAAAAAAATGTAGGAGGGAAGGAGTTGGAAACTGAGCCTGGATTTGATGATGTGAGAGATGTGCCTGCCTCTTTGGACATAAATCGTGACCCGCTACTGGTTTACCCGGCTTAGGATAAAACATTGATGGAAGTTTGAAACCGTAAAAACCTTATTACCAATTTCAATTTCACGTAATTCTTCTCTTCTCCACTGACGACATCAGGTTTGTGTTGTGTATAACGATGAAATAGACTCAGACATGAAAAATTTGTATATTTGTCTAGTAAGCTTACAAGAAGTTCATACCTATATTAAGAAAAAATCTTCCCAAAACTGAGCTTAGCGATCATCTAGAGTCGAGACGCTTCAAGAGTCTTCGCCAAGAGAAAGAGACGGCAGAATCAACTAGACAATATTACGATGATGTTATAAAATTGATATGCAATTCATATTTGATATGTTCTTATCTATTTAACATATGAAAATTTCTCAACGACTCTGACTTCTTGCGCTATTTTTGGTCTATTATCAAGTTTCTATAGCATTACGAAGTATTAGTAAAGAAAATGATGATTTTATTGAGAGTGCTTTCTCACTTTCTTTTCATTCTACACCAGGAGTAAAAGAAGCTAAGATTGGATAAAATAAAGGAAAAAAAAAAAGTGAGAGTAGAAACATTTACTAAATCAAATGATTTGTACAAATGAGTGAACTTGAGAATATTTACTCATTTCTACTTTCCTTTGTCCCAAGAAAAAGAAGCGAAAAGATTGGATTGAAGCCCAAATTGTAGAATGCTGAAATATTGTGGTAGAAAATAATTTTTTATCAGTGTCATCCTTGACATGTGCTTGCAATTAAAGCAACACATATAATATGTCTAAATATTAATTTTCTGATCTTGACTCTGATTGGATAATGAATTTGATGCAGCACACTATGTAAAAACATAAGGTAGAGGAGATGGAAAAAGAAGATAGAAAAGTAAAAGAGCAAGAGAGAATGGATAAAATTTAGAGAGGGAGCTCTGCATCTATCAATTAGATTTGATATTCAATAATTTGTGTATGCAAAAGCACGATGTCTTTTTATGCTTAAAATCTTTGGTGAGACTCCTTAACCTAAAGGGAATAAATCAAATATAAGAATTCCTTAGAGAACTAATCCTAATTTCTTATCTAAAAATAAGTCTTTAATACTGGTAAATCTTCGTTATATTATCTATTTTGCAGCCCATCACAAGCATTGATTAGTCGTAGCCTAAAAAACTTGCAAGTGGATTTAGAATAGTTTGCACCATTAGTGCCACATACTAGTTACAAAAATTGTTCCATCGTCAGGCATGTTTTTTTTTAGACAAACCATCGGTTACTTGGAATGAAAACTTGATTACTTCTATTAATAGGGTTTTGTTAATGAAAAGTAGCAAAAAATTGGGGAAATGAGTTGGGAAGGCTGCTTTCAAGTGGTTTTTGTTTAAAAGGCCATTGACCAGAATTTTGAAAATAACATAAAATATCATTATGCAAATATTTAAAAAGACAATTATAACCTTCCAGTATTTCTCTCTAAACGAAAGAAGAAAGAATCCAATACTTCCCAAATTAGAGGTCTGAAGAATCAAAATGTTGTCTTTTTCCACTTCTAAGGCTCACCGTCAATCACTCTCTATCTCCGTTCTCGGAAATTTGAAATTCGCTGGACCACCTTCAGGTAATGTGTATCGCGTAGCTAAACTTGTATTTTGTTTGTTTCTCCACCTCCGATTTTGTAGTAAAAGTTTGTTTCCCCACCCCCTTCTCAGATTTAGGAAGCCAAAACTTCTGTTTCTTAGATTTAGGAAGCCAAAACTTCTGTATTATATATGGAAGGGTCTTTACGGTACCTGTAGCCAAATCTTTTGAGCGATTAATCTACATTATGATAGTTTTATGGCACAAAATTGACAATATTCGGCTTCAGGTGTGCTTGTAAAGGTTATGTTCTGATTTCCTCTTTTTGTAAAAGAGAAAAATCATAATGTTTTGTGAAAAGAAAAAAATGATGGTTCTATTTCCCACTGTTTTAATGTTTCTTTTCATCTGCGTTATTATGATTCACCTAAGCACCTGGCAATAAGTACTTTGTAATTTATATGCTGATTGGATTAAAAGTCTCACATATTTGATTTCCTATTGATAGATTTGCTTCTGCATTTGTTTGCTACATATTAGTGGTGTAGTTTCTTGAAAAATTTAATGGTGGTGATGGCTACATTTATGTGATTTTCAAGGCTAAAGCTAACTGTTTCTTTCTTGCAATGAAAAGTTTGAGCTTCTCAATTTCAATTTTTTCTTGATAGTTTAAAATTTGATTTGTTTCCAGCCTTTGCTTGTAAAAGAGATCATTCTTGATTCTTTAATAGCATCGTTCATGAACTATTTTACGAGTTTTGGATTAATGGTTATTTTGTTTCCATCATTCTTTTGTTTCTTATTTTTGTTTGGATTATTGGCTATTTCTTCGACATTTAATTCTTTTTTTTCAAGTTCAAAGCCATCTCTTTTCATTCTTCCAGGAAAGATCGAATAATTTGTAGAAAGTTTACCAAATGCTTAAAAGAAAAAAATGACTTCTTTATGTTAGGTTTAAATGATTTAGAAAATGAAAAATGCTGAATTTGTAAACAAATTACTATACTAAGGTGAGACATTTAACTATAAAGCCACCGCATGCACAATTTATAATACATTGTACTTACAAGTTCTATAAAGCTCAAAAGCTAAGAACGCCTAATAAGTGAATATCAAATAAAATATACTTTGTTGTTAGCAATGATAATACCTGCTATTAAATTTCATATTCAAAAAAATTTCTACTACAAGAAAAACTAGAAGAACTAGGTAGCTTGTTTTAATATTTCTAGTTTTTATATTTGTTATTATGTGCTTTACTATCATCAGTTCTAATATTAGTACATATTTTATAATTTGCAGTGTTATGGAGAAGATTTTTCAAGTAAATGCTACGATTACGACAAGATGCAGATTGCAAATAGTGCGAGATGTGTATGAGAAGCTCGATACAAATTACAAAAACAAGTTTAGTGAAAGCTGCTTTGGATCTCTCCTTAGGTTGACGGACATAAAGTTGGCTTCACAAGTTATATATTAGTTATTATTGCGAAAGATAAGGACCAATAAAAAAGAAGTTTGGTTTAAGATAGGAGAGAAAAATGCAAAATTTGGGTTGGAAGAATTTATTTTTGTTACGGGCTTAAATGCGGATGATGATAACGACGTAGATAAGGCTTTAGGGGAAGAGTGTCGGATTGTGAAAGAGTATTTTAAGAATAGTGGGGGGAAGATAAAGAAAGGAGATGCGTCCAATGTATTTGTAAATTGTAAGAAAAGAAAGAGCGATAAGTATAAGTTAGGATTGATCGTAATCTTGGCGTACGTCCTATGGGCTACGGAAGAGAATACATACATCGATTTATGGTGGCTAGACTTGGTGGACGATGTAGATAGGTTCGAGACGTATCCATGGGGAAAGTTTTCATTTGAATATATGATCAGCATATTCAAACGTGAGATGGGAGATAAATTGAAAAGTTTGGACGTCGAAGGCGAATCATGTTGTCGATATTCATTGCACGGCTTTCCCCTCGCTATAATGGTATGAACAAATAATAAACTTGACTCGTATTTTTTTATATATATATAAATTTGTGTTGTGAGATAATATAAATG